AAACGCGACTTGAGGAATCGTAGAGAGCTGCGTTTTGAATATGAAAAAAATATTATACAGTGGAGTTTTAAGAACTGCATTGTTACGTTAACAACTTATGATAAGACTGATAATACCACAGCTATCTAGGTCCGATCAAATCAAATTTCTTTATTTGCGTAGGTTTAATCTTTAACCTTGAAAAAAATCGATTGCCCGATACTTTACAAAGATTAGGTTATAGGAGTACCAAATGGATAATTAAATTAGCTGTGACATTTCGTTCGTTCGTTTCAGCCACATGACGTCCACCGCCACCAAAGGCCTCCGCCTAGGATTTCCACAAAGACCGGCCATTTTTTAAATGCACAACGAGGAAACTCTTGGCCTGTATCTCACCTGATAGTAAGTGATGATCAGGCCGAAGGTGGAAGCGAGCTTCACCCGGAATCCTCAACCACGGAGGAACTGGCTATCTTACCTCTAACTGCCGGAACACAACAATGCTGTTAACATTGTTGTTATGGCGACAGACTTTGGTAAGATGGTGGTAGCTAGCCAGGCGGACTTAGAACAAGCCCTACCACCAACCAAACCGAACAGAAAAATCTGCCCCCACTGGGAATGGAATCCGGGACCTCTGCGTCTGAAGCAGGTGGTCTTACCACTAGATCACAGAGGCAGTTACGAGGCTTACGCTACCTGTATCCAGGTACTTTCCGCAACCTATGAGATTAATCCCAAATTAAGTAAGCAAAACTTGTATGGATTGGAACATCCAATCTAAAATATTACTTTATAAACATATAAAAAATCCTGCTAAGTTTGTGGTCCGGGTCACATACTTACATATCAATCAGTAAACAGATGACGTGACGTCATAACTTCTAGAGTATTTTTATCGGTAATTCAGAAGGAATTGTTGTTGTTTATGAATGAACTTTAATCACTGGGGACTTATTTTCGAAGCACTGGAATTCTTTATCACATTGGAATAGAATGTGCAAAATTCGCATACAAATAAACTATTTTCTATCCTTCAATAGCAATTGAAGTGGAAAAATCGTAGCAGTACCTAACTAAAGTAGCTAACTAAAGAGAGCGAATCTTCACCTTAAAGGCCGGCAACGCACCTGTAACGCCCCTGGGACTACGGGTGCCTATGGGCGACAGTAATCACTTACCATCAGGTGATCCGTCTGCTCGTTTACCTCCTGTCACATAAAAAAAGGTATATGTAAAGGTCCCTCTGTAATGGATCATATTCGATTATAGACAGGAAGACTGGCAAACTCAGTGGGGGACTTCAATTTGTATGACCATAAGTACCTGTAGTAATAGGAGCTATTAGCCTAGGGACTATTCCCACCTCTCGTTCCCACCGCTGCAACTCCTGTGTAGCCAGGATCTACAGCTTGACCAACCCAAAAACCCAACCAGTGAGGGTCAAGTTTGTCCCGGGGGAAAGTTAAACTGTCATTGGACTGAGCTATTAGCCAGTATAACAAATCTACTAGTTATTACTATTGACTAATAACACTATAGCTTCACGTGCTATTGTGGTGCTAAGCTCAAAGTTTCCCTGCGTGATCGAATCAGAAATGAGGAGATCCGCAGGAAAACCAAAGTGACAGAACCTGCAGAATTGCTAAACTCAAGTGGCTGTGGGCAGGGCATATAGCTCGTAGAGCTGATGGCCGTTGGGGCAAAAATTTTCGAGTGGCCACCATGGGCCGGAAGACTGTGAGGAGCAGGCCTCCCACTAGGTGGACAGGCGATATTGTGAAGGTCGCGGAAAGAACCTGGATGCGGGCAGCGCAGTACCGATTGTTATTGTGGAAATCCTTGGGGGAGACCTTTGTCCAGCAGTGGACGTCATTTGGCTGAAACGGTATCACTGTAAAATTAAATTCTTGCCGCCATCTAAAATGATCTGAACAAGCTCTGTTTATGATTACTTATTATAGCTCTGTTTAGTTGGTTATGATTATTATATTTTCTTCCATTGTTTCTATTATGATTATGGAACAATCATAATATGATCGACATAGTGCAACTGACCATTGACCCAATAACTGCAGAGTGAGTCGACAACTCGTTGATCCAGTTACACTAGACAAATTGTACTTTAACAGCTCATCATGCTATACCATTTTTATTGCAAAATAGTCCATAATACAACAACATAAGATGCCACTGTATTAACCTTGACGTGCAGTACACAATAGACTCGTTAACATGCAGATGTGAAAATTACAAGTCATTTAAAGACTCTACCTCTCAAACTTTAGCTCCAAGTAGCCCCAAGAATAGCATTTCTTTAATTCTTTCATATTTTAACATGTAACACCATTATGGGTCTTAAGTTTAACTCAGGTGCCTGAGGTATGGGAGCAGCACGGGGGAGGAGGGGTGACGAGCGACATTGACATATTGTGACGTGACAAAACCACAGAATAATAATAAGTACTACGTACAGAAGTTTTACTTCGCGAAGGTATTTAAAAAAATGTATGCTCAATGTCATTAACAATATGGTGTAATTTAGCCTGTCTCAAGAGTCAAGGACCATTTTGTTGACAAACGTCAGTGATCGGCACTGCGCCGAAGCTATAGGGCTGACTTCGGTAAAATGATGTGACGTGAGGTGCCAAACTGTGGAAAATGGCGGAGGAAATACATGATTAAGCATGAATCCATGGCATGAATCATGAATAATATTAACTACTTATTTACTTCTCAATGTCTTGAGGCAACTTAAAAAAGTACATTTTGTGTTTTTATTATTATTTAGGCAGTTAAATACTGCACAGTATTTAGTACACCATTTTCTTTATTTTCTTCCATCATACACAAGAATACGCGTGCGTGAGTCAATGTTCGCTCGTATGTGAGGCCTTGTCGAATAGTATCCTGTAGGTGGGCTATCGTGCGTGTTTTGTTTTCGATGTAAACTCGCGGAGATGAACAGGCCTGACAAAACCCACTACACCGTATCATACCATGACCGTGCTAGGAACGTGTCAGGCAAATAAATATTGTTTGTATTGAAAAGTATGACACTGTTCCCAGTAGAATGTTCCGTCACCGATCAACACCGTCGCGTGCCATGCACGGAGCGTCAATAAATGTCGGCGAGAATATTTTCGATCCTTTCAGTGGGCATAGTAGAGCGTATCGTGTTGCTTTTCGTGCCTGACACGTTCCTAGCAGTCATGGTATGATACGGTGTAGTGGGTAGAGACCTTAATTCTGAATGAGATCTGAAGTCTCGCTGACGTTTGACGTTACCAAAAACTCTCCCGTGTCGTTCAAATACCTCAGCCCCCCTAGACAAAACGCACTTTTTGATCGAATCGAAAATCGAATCCGTCAAAACTCCATACAAAAAAGGGGCTTTTCGACCACTTTTCGACTGGTTTGCGATTATAATTTGCACTTTGTCTAGACCCACAGGCGCTGACTGAGTTAAGCACTAGAACTATAGTTGTGGAAACGGCTCTAATTACATTTCTTTCAATATCTAATTATCTACTTAAAAATAATCTTCCGTATGTAAATCTTCTTCCAAAACACGTCTTAACAAATTGCCTTACTACAATTTGCATAATTTCCAACCAGGCTTGAATGTGTGTCTACCGTCAAGTTCGTTCGATTATGACTTGGTTAGCATCATTAGCGTGGAGATACGAGCTGGAGACCACGTTACTTGTCAAGGACTGATGTACAGTCCGCGTCAAATAGTCCGTGACACCCAAAGTAGCCAAAAAGTTCGCAACACGTCTTTGTTACTTAGAATAAGGTTGTGTTGTCATTTTTTTGGTCACTAGGTGTCACGAACGATTTGACGCTGACTGCACAATTGACAGCACATTATTGTTGCAAGATAAGTAGCAGACAAATGGTTAAGAAGCTACAGAAAATGGCTGGATGTAGCTATACAGATATTTCCGAACAGAGAGTCATAAGGAATCGTATTCTCAATGAGTACTGTTTCATCTCAGACCTCATTCGTCGCCCGAGGTCAATCTGAGTTCAAACAAGGAGTAGGTAAAGCTTATGTTAAGAGAAAAAAGTCAGAGAGTTAAATTGGTATTCCTGAGGATAATTAGCTAACTTACTTAGTATTCATTCGCTAGAGAAAAACAGGAGGGAAATAAAACAATTAAAGTGGACACTGAAGTAATCTGTAGGTAGATAGGTAGGTTAGGTATAGTGAAGTTTCTTGGGGTATGAGTGTACGCACATGTACGTCAATAATAAGCATTGATACATCACACAACAGAGGTCAAAAGACATTGTTCAAGAGACGAAATGGCATGCTATTTTAAGAACAGACATGTTTTGAGTTGACCTTGAGACCAATAATACCTAACTTTCCACTTAAAAACAAGAAGGTAGTTATTATTTATCGCGCTCATTAAGTTAATTTATGCAAATAACATCCTTAAATGATCTGGGTATCACTTCTCTGTCTCAGATCTGTCTTAAATATAGGCTTTTTAAAGACTGTCAACAAGGTCTGTTGTTTGTTATGAAGCTGATTGAAAAAAGAACCCTACTTCTTTTCTATCGCAGTCGAGTAAAAAATACAGATCACTCTTTTCTTATTTTATTTTGAAATCAATGAGGGTTTTCGCGATTGAAAAATCCGCCAGATGGCGGGACGCGGACGCGGGGTCCAGATGCTGCGTGATTGGTTATTTTTGACATGAAATTGACAGATAATAATATGTCAAAATCCACCAATCACGCAGCGGTCGGACCCCACGTCCGCGTCCCGCCATCTGGCGGATTTTTCAATCGCGAAAACCCTCATTGAACTTCTGTGTTTTTTTCCTTTTAGGTACCACATCACTTTCCTTTAGTAAAGAAGAGTTCGTGACACCCAAAGTGACCAAAAATTTGATAACACAAACTTATTCCAATTTTAACAAAGACGTGTTGTGAACTACGTTACGTACTATTTGACGCTGACTGTACACGTACAATATGAATAACGTGTTCTCCGTTTGTTCCAGAATGTCGTAAAAGAGACAGAAGATGGATAAGCCGACCATTCATATGCTCTCCGTCCAGGAGAAGGGCGGGCAGACCAGGAAGGCGACACAGTACATCGCTGCAGTAGCAGGTAGATATTGACCTCAGATCATAGAAGGGAATAGATGTGAAACGGGGGCGTGGCGCGTGTCTCCGCGATATGCCCAGAAACGAACATCGGCCGCGTAGCTACCCAAGTAACATAGTAGGGAATTTAGTGCAATGATTTGTATGGAGACCCCTCCACTTTGGTATAGAAGGCTCATTTTTGCACCAGTTGTTCTTTGGGTGCTCCTGAGTAGATTTCCGTCGGTAGACATCGGGAGCCCCCCCTGTGGTAGCAGGGGGAGGGGGGGCAAGTTTCCTTCTGCCGCGCTTCACTTTAAGGCCCATATCTTCAAAACTATAGGTATTAGGGCAAGTGTGGTGTCATTTTCGGATAATTAAAGGATGGCGAATTCATTTCTAGAACAAACTTTTTGCCTTTTCATACAAAAAAATAGAAATATTGAGAAAAATTCACAAAAACCAAAAAGTATTTTTTTAAATAAACGTCGTTTACTTTTAAACCATTGGAGATAATCTAATAAAAAAAATATGTACTGAAAGCTACATTTACCAGGATTATAAATATATACCATTGTATGGTACTTTTTTCGAAAAAAGTNTTCCAACCAGGCTTGAATGTGTGTCTACCGTCAAGTTCGTTCGATTATGACTTGGTTAGCATCATTAGCGTGGAGATACGAGCTGGAGACCACGTTACTTGTCAAGGACTGATGTACAGTCCGCGTCAAATAGTCCGTGACACCCAAAGTAGCCAAAAAGTTCGCAACACGTCTTTGTTACTTAGAATAAGGTTGTGTTGTCATTTTTTTGGTCACTAGGTGTCACGAACGATTTGACGCTGACTGCACAATTGACAGCACATTATTGTTGCAAGATAAGTAGCAGACAAATGGTTAAGAAGCTACAGAAAATGGCTGGATGTAGCTATACAGATATTTCCGAACAGAGAGTCATAAGGAATCGTATTCTCAATGAGTACTGTTTCATCTCAGACCTCATTCGTCGCCCGAGGTCAATCTGAGTTCAAACAAGGAGTAGGTAAAGCTTATGTTAAGAGAAAAAAGTCAGAGAGTTAAATTGGTATTCCTGAGGATAATTAGCTAACTTACTTAGTATTCATTCGCTAGAGAAAAACAGGAGGGAAATAAAACAATTAAAGTGGACACTGAAGTAATCTGTAGGTAGATAGGTAGGTTAGGTATAGTGAAGTTTCTTGGGGTATGAGTGTACGCACATGTACGTCAATAATAAGCATTGATACATCACACAACAGAGGTCAAAAGACATTGTTCAAGAGACGAAATGGCATGCTATTTTAAGAACAGACATGTTTTGAGTTGACCTTGAGACCAATAATACCTAACTTTCCACTTAAAAACAAGAAGGTAGTTATTATTTATCGCGCTCATTAAGTTAATTTATGCAAATAACATCCTTAAATGATCTGGGTATCACTTCTCTGTCTCAGATCTGTCTTAAATATAGGCTTTTTAAAGACTGTCAACAAGGTCTGTTGTTTGTTATGAAGCTGATTGAAAAAAGAACCCTACTTCTTTTCTATCGCAGTCGAGTAAAAAATACAGATCACTCTTTTCTTATTTTATTTTGAAATCAATGAGGGTTTTCGCGATTGAAAAATCCGCCAGATGGCGGGACGCGGACGCGGGGTCCAGATGCTGCGTGATTGGTTATTTTTGACATGAAATTGACAGATAATAATATGTCAAAATCCACCAATCACGCAGCGGTCGGACCCCACGTCCGCGTCCCGCCATCTGGCGGATTTTTCAATCGCGAAAACCCTCATTGAACTTCTGTGTTTTTTTCCTTTTAGGTACCACATCACTTTCCTTTAGTAAAGAAGAGTTCGTGACACCCAAAGTGACCAAAAATTTGATAACACAAACTTATTCCAATTTTAACAAAGACGTGTTGTGAACTACGTTACGTACTATTTGACGCTGACTGTACACGTACAATATGAATAACGTGTTCTCCGTTTGTTCCAGAATGTCGTAAAAGAGACAGAAGATGGATAAGCCGACCATTCATATGCTCTCCGTCCAGGAGAAGGGCGGGCAGACCAGGAAGGCGACACAGTACATCGCTGCAGTAGCAGGTAGATATTGACCTCAGATCATAGAAGGGAATAGATGTGAAACGGGGGCGTGGCGCGTGTCTCCGCGATATGCCCAGAAACGAACATCGGCCGCGTAGCTACCCAAGTAACATAGTAGGGAATTTAGTGCAATGATTTGTATGGAGACCCCTCCACTTTGGTATAGAAGGCTCATTTTTGCACCAGTTGTTCTTTGGGTGCTCCTGAGTAGATTTCCGTCGGTAGACATCGGGAGCCCCCCCTGTGGTAGCAGGGGGAGGGGGGGCAAGTTTCCTTCTGCCGCGCTTCACTTTAAGGCCCATATCTTCAAATCTATAGGTATTAGGGCAAGTGTGGTGTCATTTTCGGATAATTAAAGGATGGCGAATTCATTTCTATAAATATAGGCTTTTTAAAGACTGTCAACAAGGTCTGTTGTTTGTTATGAAGCTGATTGAAAAAAGAACCCTACTTCTTTTCTATCGCAGTCGAGTAAAAAATACAGATCACTCTTTTCTTATTTTATTTTGAAATCAATGAGGGTTTTCGCGATTGAAAAATCCGCCAGATGGCGGGACGCGGACGCGGGGTCCAGATGCTGCGTGATTGGTTATTTTTGACATGAAATTGACAGATAATAATATGTCAAAATCCACCAATCACGCAGCGGTCGGACCCCACGTCCGCGTCCCGCCATCTGGCGGATTTTTCAATCGCGAAAACCCTCATTGAACTTCTGTGTTTTTTTCCTTTTAGGTACCACATCACTTTCCTTTAGTAAAGAAGAGTTCGTGACACCCAAAGTGACCAAAAATTTGATAACACAAACTTATTCCAATTTTAACAAAGACGTGTTGTGAACTACGTTACGTACTATTTGACGCTGACTGTACACGTACAATATGAATAACGTGTTCTCCGTTTGTTCCAGAATGTCGTAAAAGAGACAGAAGATGGATAAGCCGACCATTCATATGCTCTCCGTCCAGGAGAAGGGCGGGCAGACCAGGAAGGCGACACAGTACATCGCTGCAGTAGCAGGTAGATATTGACCTCAGATCATAGAAGGGAATAGATGTGAAACGGGGGCGTGGCGCGTGTCTCCGCGATATGCCCAGAAACGAACATCGGCCGCGTAGCTACCCAAGTAACATAGTAGGGAATTTAGTGCAATGATTTGTATGGAGACCCCTCCACTTTGGTATAGAAGGCTCATTTTTGCACCAGTTGTTCTTTGGGTGCTCCTGAGTAGATTTCCGTCGGTAGACATCGGGAGCCCCCCCTGTGGTAGCAGGGGGAGGGGGGGCAAGTTTCCTTCTGCCGCGCTTCACTTTAAGGCCCATATCTTCAAAACTATAGGTATTAGGGCAAGTGTGGTGTCATTTTCGGATAATTAAAGGATGGCGAATTCATTTCTAGAACAAACTTTTTGCCTTTTCATACAAAAAAATAGAAATATTGAGAAAAATTCACAAAAACCAAAAAGTATTTTTTTAAATAAACGTCGTTTACTTTTAAACCATTGGAGATAATCTAATAAAAAAAATATGTACTGAAAGCTACATTTACCAGGATTATAAATATATACCATTGTATGGTACTTTTTTCGAAAAAAGTAGGTGAAAAAAAATTTTTCTTCAGGACACTGCGGGCGAATTTTACTGCGCGTCGGAAAAAAATATTTATTTTATCCATGAATTCATACTATTTGGTTCATAAGCAAGTAAGGATTATTATTTTAGAATTTATTTAGAGTTCCTGGCACATCAAGCTAACATGATATGTATTTTATCTTCAATTAATTTTGAACTCTATGTGTAAGACATAAGGTTGAAAATAGCTTAATCACATTTTAATATTGAAAATATCATAAGAAGAAAGCACTAAATAAAGAACTTGAATTTGTCTAAACGTCTAATGATCATTAGTATTTTAATTAACACATTTCTACATACTATTGTACCAGTGATTTAACGGAAAGGAAAGTGTGAGGAAAGTGAGGATTGATAATATGTTAAATTCGTACACATACTCACTCACAAATTGGATATTAAATACAAATAGTCTGAAACCAACTTATTCACCAATACCATAATTTGCCAATTCAAGCCATCAATCATAGGTACACAACACACTGATATTTTAGGAGGCTCTCGGGTCATGGCGTTCTAGCTCGCGGCCAACGTTCGAATGCCACAAGGAATATCTTTTTGTTATCCCGTACGACTCCCATCATAGTACGGGAGATTATTTTTAGCACAAAGGCTTCGGCCTGTGACCATTATAGTTGTTTGTTCAGACAGCACCAGCTTCTGCACTACTTCTTCCACTTACATCTCAACATTTTCAGGCAAGCTTCGGCAGCTACGGGCAAATCGGTCCATGTAGGCTCCATGTTGCTATCGACTCTGGTCCACCCCCAACCAGTCGGGTAAAGGGAAGACTGAGTCGGTTGCTTGCAACTGACCCTATACGCGAACCCCTTGATATACTGCCAGTAGCCAATGCTGATACAAAGCTGTTTGGGTTATCTTATGTAGGGCCACACCTAAGTGTAGTCCACAGCGAGCCATTAGGATCTTTATTCTCCCTTTTTTATTCCCTATCATCCAAAAAAATCCTATTCATTAGTTAGGTGAATTAAGCGTCTGAGTGAAAGCCAGCTAATAGTATTCTGATGCCGGATATGCTGACCCAAGCAGACACATCCTTACAGTATTAAGTGTTTCATGGACCCCACATGTATTCCAAATGCTCGAGAGCTTCTGTTGTTAGGCCCATTTTGTCACAAAATGTTTGAAAACAAAATTTTTGTGGGACATGTGGTTTGTTCCCCAGTTTGCGTACCTGTAATTGCTTGGGCTTACCTTTGACGAGTTTTCTCCATGACCCTGTATTTCCCTTTAGGAATGATTTGGAGAGGC